TCTTCACGCTGAGGGCTCCTCCACCTCCCACAGTAACAAGTGTTGTCAGGGCCGAGGCCTGCGGGGTTAAGACCATCAGGAGGAGATCAGAGGAGCACAGAGCTGGAGGCCGCAGGATGATTGTTTGAGTAGACAGACCGCATTTATGAATTCAAAATGAATGACGATCAAAGCCACTCGATCCTCTTATTAAAGCCTCACTCTAGTATGTAATGTGACTGCACATCATTTTGATAATAACTGCTGTATTAAAGTGTCCTAAACAGACTTCAGACTTAATTCCAGATGATTTCATCGTGAAGGAAAAACTCTGAGCCAAAGTGTCACTGAGGTCGAGCCAGAGGCGTTCTGTGCCGACTAAATATTCACAGATTTAAAAAGCCTTATATGAATTCATCTTTAAATACCCTAAGTGTAATATGTGTTAGGTAATCAACACCATTAAATCCTCATCAACTACGCTGGGGTATAATATAACTAAGGCTGGGAATTTGGACATCCATATTAATGATGCTTAAATTGCAGTTACTATGAAACGGCTTCTGTAAAAAGTACACCGCAATCAACACAGGCAGCGGAAAATAAAATGTACCGCACTGATCTTTTCTCTGTACTGAAGTGATTGCAGTTAATTGCAGAAACAGCAGAAGTGTTCAGTGTAACGCGTGGTAAGACGGCTCCCGGTGTTATTCATCGCTCTGTTAACGTCTAATAAAATGCAGATTCTCAATGATTTGCTATGTTTTTTAATAAAGTCTATCCAGGCCATGATATTAATAAAAACATAGAATTTAACTCTGAACAAGGATCGCACAAGCATCATTTCATCAAGTGCCCTGAAATTATGTTTTTTTTATGTGGTGCACTTTTCCATGCAGGCAAAGTAGGAAGTCATGTTACAAAGTCTGTTAAGGGAGGGAGTCAGCGTCGACAATACACTTGTGGCACTATTGTTACATTAGGACAGTATGATGATGTATATACATTCATAGTAAAGAAGCAAGAGAGAGTGAAGACTCAGAGATGCAACTCAGGCCCAATGCGACAATTTATGATGGAAGCGGGCAAGAGAACTGGTTCAAATATAACTGATTCTGCCCGACCTAAAAGGCCTCAGCACTGGTAAGAGGCTAAAACACAGAGAGGTTTCAAGATCAATACAGAGATGAAGCTTCCTGCACATCGACTCTAGGGAGGCGGCGGCGGCGGTGGGGGGGGGAGACAGCTTCCGCCAATGTTTGGAATTTGGACTACAGGTCCCATTTTAAACGCTACGTGTCAGAGTTACATATTGCTCCTTTAAGGAGTTGGAAACAAACACAACTTGAAAAAGGCTGCTGCAATACTCTCAAAGAGACTGCTCAGAGAGTCCAGCACCTGAGGGTGTCAGGTGACAGAGCAGAAAGACTTGTGTTTAGTGGCTAAACCAAATGTCACAGATGGTGTTATAAATAAAAGGGTGCATCAGTTCGGAGTATCCTTTTTGTAAGATATCATGAAACAGCTGGGATGTATTGCATCAAATAAATGATTGTTGCATTGCCCACAAGAGGGAAAAAAGTGTGCAAGTAAGAAGAACTGCAGTTCCTCAAGTGTCCACTTGAGGCTGGCTGCATAAACCAAGGAATCCCCATTAGGTCCCACATTAAAGTGCCTATATTTTAAGTCAGAGATAAACATGTTTCCTGCATGGATTAACAAACAATTGTTCTATCAGTTTGATTAAATTAGAGGGTGAAGAGTTATGCATACATTTACATAAATCGAGGCGTAGCTGATTTGACTTAAAAGCTCTTTGCAAGGAGACTTCAAATTACGCCTCAGCTCTACCTCTCTGCCTGTGACTAGACTGATCGAAACTTAATCTCTTCTAACATGGTGACCACCATCGTTGGTCTTCATAGAACACGTCTTAAGAAAATAATGGGTGATGTCACAGAGACAACGTCCATGTTTCATACAGTCCATGATTCAAACATCGCTGTTAGATATTTGTCCTGAAAGTCTGCCAAGTCCTGGATTTTTAAGTCATCTACTTCTGTTGAGCACCAGCAATGCAGCTGATTTTAGAGTCGCTCTATACTTGTGTCTCATTTGTTAACTTTAATTCTACGAGTATTGAGTATCACAGTTCAACTTCCACCAGGTATGTGGTTTTTTTTCATGTGTCCGTCCACCTTGTTTGAATGTGTGGGATGTGTCTCTGTAAAAAATCATCAGCCTGTGTTGGATAGAGGCAGATGAAGATGCTGTTGTTGACAGAGTAATCGAAGCTAAAGCCTCGTCAGTTGTGGGTCGGATCGACCGCGGCGTGAATCATAGTAATTGGCTCTTGTCTCAGCGCTGGAGAACAACATCCATTAACAGAGAGGCTTTAGATGGAGGCAGTGTTAGTTTGACTTTAGACTACAGTTTGGAGCTCCAGAGAAAAGATAGGGATGTTTATTGAGCTGATGTGCATGAATCTCTGTGTGTGGGGTTGCATTATGTGTCTCCTATAGTGATAAATTACATAGCTATGTAAATAAAGCTGCTGTTCATCTTCATAAAATAAATCTTGCCTTAACTTGTGGGGACTATTTTGTTTTCTTTAAGCCAATTTAAAAAATGTTTTACCATCCCAGCTTCACAAAAAAAAAATTAATAGATTTAAATTACATCCAGTGTTGTTCTCAAGTTCAGACCTTAGACAGGAGTCTGACTTGACTCCTGATTTTCAGGACGGGAGACTTGGAAAGGACTTGAGCATGGACTGCATTTGAACTAAAAAATGGACAGGAGGACTCAGGCCCTAATCATTTATTCAGTTTCAAGGAAGGGGCTGGCATGTGTGTTCACCTGCATGCTCCTTCACAAGCTGTCTTATTGAGCAACAGTTCCTGCAGAGGCGCCACTAGAATTTTGCAATTTGCTGCCAACTCCTCATCATCTGTGACAGCAGGTAATCTTCCTCTGGTTCCTTTATGCTCAAAAGACATCAGTAAGAAAGAAAATGAATTTCTTACCTCCGTCACAGCCAACCATAACATACAAAATTCCAGAAACTCTCATGTAAACTGGACTGACAGAACTCTTTGAGGAATGATTATCTCCAAAAGAAACACAACAAAGTGGAGAATGTTTCAAGCGAAACCAAGGTCGAGGCTACAAATTGCAAATATTTCTGCAAGGTGCGGTTGTAACTCGGAAACTCTCTCCCTTCAAAGGTAATGTCTTCTGTTGTGAATTAAGTATGTAGACCTTAAATTTGACAACCAGTCTTTTTCAAATACAATGTCCAATTTAAAAAAAGACCCTTATATTGCGGCGCTGGTGGCACAGTGGTTAGTTTGCACACTCCATGTATTGAGGCCGTTGAAATACAACCTGTGGCTCCTTTCTCCACACGTCATTCCCTTCTCTCTTTCCCTGATTTCCAACTCTGTCCACTGTCCTATCTCTACAGTAGAGCCACATAAAGCCCAAAAATAAATCTTACATTAAGGCCAAATTGGTGGTTAAAATAGTCAACAAATCACAAGATAAGCCAAGAAAACATGAATTACGTTATTTCCGCTGTGTTGGAGCTTCTTTATGATAGTGACTATAAAAGGCTGATGAGATCCAGTAATCCACTAAAAAGGCTTATTATTTCACAACATCTTTAACATGTGTTGCAGCAAATCATCCATTAAGTATTTAAGAGTGAATTATGTGACGGCTGATTTGTTTTCCGGCCAGTGAAGAGCCGGCCATTCATCCCCACAACACGCCATGATTACACCGTTCATTTATCCAAGTGGACATTATTACTCCTTTCATTCGTCTAATGCGGTGCCATTACGGCTGAAAGACCTGTCTCCACTTGTGGAACATTAAACGTGCTTCTCTTTCATTAGGCTCCTGTGTGCTTCTCTTGTGCTGATATTCACAGACTCAATGAAATATGAGGAGGTCGCTGTCAAGGGTTGTTGGTGTTTCAAACCCTTTTCAAACAGACAGCGAGGCATGATTTAGAGTCAACACCTTTTCACTCAGGTTAAAAGATAAAAATCCATCTGCAGCTGTGTCTGATATTGTCCTTATTTCTTTTTTTTTTTACTGCTGATCTTCCGCTCTTTGAACCCTTCAGCTGTGTTTCGCGCTCTGGAGAAAAGAGTTCAGACGCTTTCCACTTTTATGAATTTGAACCATGAAATGATTTATATTCAGACATCCCTGTATCAAGCTGCTGCTGTGAACTTTTTTTTTATGTTCAGTGAGAGACCGGAGCACAAAGTCAAAGGCCTCTTTCCACTTAGCTGACATTAAACCTGCAGCTCAAAGATAAAAACTGCATCCTCTTCAGCTGCTAAATGGTGTCTATCCAGGCTACAGAAAATGTGACGCTTTGGCTCAGTTACCTCTCGCATCCTGCTTTGATGAACCAGTAAGTGCTGTATCACTCAGGATAAGTGTTTTGGTACTTATGTTAGAACATTTCTACAATTCAGAGCCTTCAGTAAAATATGTAATGACGCTGTTGATGTTGTGTTCGCTGAAAACTTCCTCCCAAAGTGAATCAAACATTTTTATAAATCTTATTTAGGTGTGGATTTCCTTCTACATCTTCTCATGGCAGCATGTACCCTGTCACTTACTGTAGGAACATCTGTATTTAAGTCACATGACAACACTCAACATCTGTCTGATCTCCTTCTGTATGCTGTTATCTGCTGATTGCCGTGTACAGCAAACTACTTCATGTTGTAGAAATTAGCATTTGATTTACAGACACGTCAGCATCTGGAGCGTCCCCACTGTGACACCATAATTATATTCCTCGTGTAGCAACACAATAAGAAGCCATGACAAAGACGGCAAAGACCCTCAGTTTGAGGATTCATAGAAAGAAAATGGATTTAAAATCATGAATCTTTATTTTGTGGAACCATCGATGAAAAAGTATGAACTGTTGGTATTAGATACATGTGAAACCCTAACCTTGTATGCTTTCTTTCTGCTTTGTGATTGGTTGACAGATGTGTGTGACAGCGCCCTGGTCTCTAATCTGCCGCCGTCGTCCTTCAGGAGCTCCTCCCAGCTATCAAGTAGTCACGCGCCAGGTTTCGCCAAAGTCAACCGGAGAGACGGTAAGGAAGAGTTCCCCTTCTGCAAAGAATGACTAAAAGAATTATGAACTGGAGGATGATGAGTTAAAAGGGTCTGAATATGGGGTTTGATGGTCCTGAATATTTGACGACATTGTCTACTTTTGCATGACAAGACTAAATTCTGCTTCAAATATTGCAGAAGTGAAGCTTATTTAGACGATCAAAACGTATTTTGAAATGGCCTGTGGCTTTTGTTTTCTGCCCGTTTGTCTCGTTGAAGAAAGGAAGTGTTTCAAGAAAATGAATTAATTTGCCGTTATTTACATTTGGCGGTATGGCTCTGTTCTCTCACATGCTTACATGGAAACCATCAGGCAGGGAGAGATGCAATCTAAACCCAATATAACCGGCATCAATGACAACATCATGACATTGATTAAGTCACACAGTATTAAAGGAGGAGCTGGGGTGGAGGAATGCTGCAAATGCACTTGCTAAAGGAGTAGGCAGGAAGGAGCAGCTCAAGTAAGGCGACATGAGTGTGATCAGCCAATTGGATGCTTAGAAGCAAATCAGCTGGCTATTGAGCTAATGAGGGCTTCGGATGTTTTCAATGCAACAACGGCATGATAGCAGAGTGTGACATCCTGCCTGAACTAACGCTGTGCTTAATTTATGGCACTGTGCAGGTGACAAGTTTAAATGTTTAAGTGTCCATTCTGTGTGTCATCAGAAAAAATATATTGTTTTTTATTAGTGCATCTACGACCTATCTGATATTAATATTCAGGCATTACAGCTGTCAATTACCAGTTAATCACAGGGCTGACAAATACAGACAAATAAGCATTCAAGATTATTTGGGGGTGGCTGTGGCTCAGTTGGGAGAGTTGTTGTCTCTCAACCAGAAGGTCGAGGGTCGAGGGTTCGATCCACAGCTACTCCAGCAATATGTGCGAAGTGTCCTTGGACGACACACTAAACCCTGAGTTGCTTAGGTGGTGGCGGTGGTGGCGGTGGTGGCGGCATATGAATGTGTATGAATGGGATTAATTACTTCTGATGGTGTCATTACAAAGTAACCACTGCCATCAGTGTGTGAATGGGTAGGTGTCACAAGCGGTTTTCACAAGCTCAAGTCCATTTACCAAACTCACGCTCACACCTGCAGGTCATTTCGAGTCACCAACTAACCTAACAATTTTGATAGGTAACCATGTAGCTGCAAAGTTGCTCAAATTGAGAGTGTATATATAGTCTAACTTTATTTCTTGTTTTAAAATGTGTGATCTGTGAAAAAAAACATTTGATACATGAAAAATGGCATGCTGGCTGCGATTCTTGCTTTTGCTTCAGAGAATTGAGAGTGCAACTAAATCCTGACCGAGAACAATTTGTCACTGTGTGTTGCTCTTTAAGCAGCGGCACTCTTCAATTACCGAGAAGTTGCTGTGCAGAAATGGAGCTCGGAAGACAAAGCAGAAACCCTAACTAACAGGAAAGTTTCCTCCCGATTCACAAAGGCTGACAGATAACTCACCAGTGAGTCGTTTACAGCGAGATTGAGGATCAGAATAACTTGATAGAGGCACAACAGAGTACAAAAACAAAAAAAAGGACAAGGGTAGCTGCTTTAGTCTCTGTAGATGCTGCATGTGTTGCCAGAAGGATAAATGTGAATGCTGTTTGTTCATCCAACATAAAAACCCCTGCAGGGAGCCCTGTTCTGGATGCTGATGTGAGGATTTGACAAAGTGAAGATCGTGGTTTATTGTGGAGCTTTCTGCAGGGAGTGCGCTTCACTGCTTTATCTTCACATCAAAGCTCACAATCAAATGAGAGGGGGGTTAATAAGGGACCTGAATGACGTAGACCACCTGGAAAAACTACAGGAAGCAGCAGAGCCTGCAGAGCACAGCTCAGTCCTCTGTTTGATGGTCAAGACTTAAAGCAAACTGTTTTTGCTGCTTAACGCGGCTGGTCTCTCACTGTTAAACAACAGACATGTTTTATCATCTCACTAAAGCCTTGTTCACGCTTGCACAAAACTCCTGAAACACTCTTGAGGTTTGGGCCGTATGTGCAACCGACTGAATGTGCATGAATGGGATTAGTTAATACTGATGAATAGAGATGGCAAAAACAAACGATTTATGCAAAAATTCGACATTCTTATATCTTCTGAGATTGTCAATAGATTCATTACTCCAAAACATTTTTTTTTTTGGCTGATCAGTCACTCCCTGCTAATTGCTTAGGCGAGCTCTTTAACTCAGTAGAATGCCAAATGGAGCAGCAAGCAATGTCATCCAGTCTCACAGATGACTGGAGTAGATCCTGAAGTATGTACTAATTAAAAAATAGACTTTGAATCATGAATCCAGAAATCATTTTGAATCGAACATAGATTCTCAATGGAATCGTGACCCCAAGAATCGAAATCGAATCGTGAGACACACAAAGATTCCCAACCCTACTGATGGACACTTTACACAGCAGCCTCTGTCATCAGTGTGTGAACGTGGAGGTGTGACCTGCGGTGTAAAAACACTTTGAGTAGTCAGACCACTAGAAAAGAGCTATACAAGATCAAGTCCATGTACCAATTTGCTCTGCAGCCTTCTTTCTAGCTGCAGCAGATGCCTGCATGCTTCATGCCAGGCATCAAACAGCAGAGTGAAGAAGGTAATGATTGATGGAGCGTTTAGCAGCAGAATAGCCAGACATTTTCTGAGAACAAAAACCGAGCTAAAAGCAGAGTGAATGTTGCTCAACTTTAAATAAATGCTTACAATTCTCCCTGCATGCTTGTGCAAAAATATTCGACTTCTTGCAAACACTTTGTCCATATAAGCCTTAAAATGTTTTAGTTTCCTTTTTAATAATTGCCACATAAATGAGTTTAAGATAAACCAGAATGAGAGCGACGGCTTGGATGTCTATTCCTCAAACTGAATAGATTCACCCAGCTTCCTCTCGTCAATAATAATCATGTCAATATGAGAGAATGCAGGGATCAGGAGTGGGAGTGGAATGAATCAGTAAGCTACTGCTAATAGCATCATAACCCATCACCTCACTGCTGCATGTCTCACATCTCGCTCCGCTTGTTTGTGGATTAGGAGAGCTGTTTGTTGTCACATTTCCTCCCCAGCTGTATTAACAGCGCAAAGCCGACACAATTCCAGCTGTTTGCGGAGGAAATCGATGAATAAATGAACGTCTCCGTCTCATTTCCACCCCCTGCTGCTGCCTTTAACTCGCTGCCTCCTCCCCCTTGTTCTCAGAGGAGAGGCTTTGCTTTCAGTTAATTTACTCGCTAAATGAACGGATTATCAAAGCCCTGAAATACCACCCAGAGATGAATACAGGTGTAGTATACATGGGGTTTAGGATGGGAGTGTAAGCTAAATAAATTCATTTAAATGAAAACCCTGTGGATCTCTAGGGACCACAGTTTTGGCCACAGGCCCTTTATAAACGACAGTAATCTTATTTTTTAGACCTTAAACTGGTGAAGCTGAAATAACTGCAGGCTTTATTTTGACTGTGACTGGAAGAGGAGCCAGATGCATTATCCTATGTTAACATTTGGGCTAAACTCCAATGAGATTTGACTAACCTTCAAACTGTATTGTAAAAATTACAAAAGTGTCTTTGATATGTTTGACAGGGTGGTAGTACTCGAGTCCAGGACTCGCTCCGACTCCAGTAATTGTCGCAGTAATTCAACAATGTGGATGCAAGCTGCCGCAAAAACACCAAAGAAAAAGAAGGAGGAGAGACAAGGACTCAGAGTTTTTTTATTGATAAAGACAGTGTTTATGTTTTTGTTAGTTTTTTTCTAACAAGGCCCTAAAGATTAATTTAGTTTTGAGAAAAGGCTGGCATGTGTCTTCACTTGTGCGTGTGTACTTGTAGAAAAGTAAATGCTCTTGAACAATCAGACAGAGACGTATGGCTTGTGAATCGAGCATCTGTTTATTTCTCTTGGAGCAGTTCTTTTATAGCATCCCAATCATCCCGTTATGGGCAATCATCACACTGGGCAATTACAACATATGTGCTATTTCCTAGAAGTTTCTTGGCTGGACAACTGGTCTATTACCAGGAAAGAGTGGGTGGGTATGTGTGTATGTGTATCAGAACATGACCTCATGATCAGAGGTTAGATAACTATTGGTTTGTGCCTGTTGTTGTCCAGATTATGTGTTTCTGTTTGATTCACTGCAACATACTATGGTTTGGGAAATCGACGTCATTAAATAAAACATTCTGATTAATAACAGGTGGGTTGCAAGTGTTTTTGAGTTTATTTTGCTTGTCATTTTAGCTCATAAATGTCTTTTCTTTGTCTTAAAAAATGGCCGTTGATGCAAAATTTGATTTGCAAGCAAATTTACACTGATGGCAAAAAAATTGCACTCATTTTCCAGCATTAAACTAAACACCTCAGGTTAGAGTTTCAGACATGTAAATCACAAGTTCATCCCTCCAGCATTCTTACAATAGCATGTAACCCATAAACCCTCATTCTGTTGAAAGGATTTTAACTCACTCCTTGCTAAATCGTGCTTGAAATAAAGCAGAATTTTGTTTTCCCTATTGAGCATTGTGTTGTGTAATCACAGCCAGTTGAAACTGTGGGTTTTACTGTTTTGCACTTTGGTGACTCCTGTAGTTTGCGTTACAGATTATGACGTGCCGAACAGGAAAAGGCTTCAGCTGAAATGTCCACAAACTCCCTCTTTGAGGTTCTATTTGCCACATTGTTTTATCATCCTCAGCTCAGCTGTGATAAATGGGTTTGCCTCTGGGATAGGGCACGACTGGTGATACATTTATATTCCTTTTTATACAATGAAAAAAAGGTGGCAGAAAGGTGGCACACTCAATATTTTGTGCATGCACTTCTTTTTCACAAAGAGGTTTAGAATCGGCTTGAAATGCTTTGGCAGGAAGCTGAGTGGAGAGAATTGTCTCTTTCACAAAGAACCTGCTGGATGAATGATTCAGTTTGATCTTGATTTTGTCCTCAT